TTATACTAGTAACTTTAAAAGATATATACATTTTTTGTAAAGTCCTTGGTTTATGGCCAAGACATTAGGTCCTTGGAAGTTTTCAAACAGCAGGCTTTAATTACCAAAATTAAGATAAATTTGTCTAATTGTAAATAAAATCAGACTAGAGGAAAGTAATGACTTAAGGTAATACATAACTTTGATTCACAACATACAAAAGATTGTCACCTCATTCTCTGCCATTGAAGCTTATGAAGAACTGAGCCTGGACAGGTTTATGGTATTTTTTTTCTTTTTCATTCTTTGTCATTCACTATAGTGAATGACAAACTGTACATAAAAGGGTTGAAGATGTTAATGTAAGAAATTATTTCACACTAGTATCATGATATATTTCACTCTTCAACTCAAACTTGACTATTTTTGTTGTTTGGTCACTTAGAGTTCAAATATATCATAGGATGAGATACGCTTGTGTTGGTTTGCCATTGAAACTAGTTTCCTTGCATTCTCACAAAACACTTATTTGTAGTGCATTGTTCCCCTACCCTTCAGGTGGGACCGTTCAGTCTGTTACTCTAATTTCTCAATGTTCAGATCCAAGAAACAGAAGAATGCAGTGAGTAGATCAAAAATAAATACCCGGGCGCCTGGGTGGCTCAGTTGGTTAAGCGACTGCCTTCGGCTCAGGTCATGATCCTGGGAGTCCCGGGATTGAGTCCTGCATCGGACTCCCTGTTCAGCAGGGAGTCTGCTTCTCCCTCTGATCCTTCCCCCTCCCATGCTCTCTCTCTCTGTCTCATTCTCTCTCTCAAATAAATAAATAAAATCTTAAAAAAAAAAAAATTCCCACCTATCTGTAATTTCTCATCTACTCTTTGTCCTTCACAAACTCAAGTGATACTTAAGCAAAGAATAAAGCGTATTCAGGGGCACCTAGGAGGCTCAGTCGGTTAAGCATCTGCCTTCAGCCCAGGCCTGGGACCGAGCCCCGCATGGGGCTCCCTGCTCAGCAAGGAGCCTGCGTCTCCCTCTCCCTCTGCCTGCTGCTCCCCCTGCTCGTGCTCTCTCTCTCTGTCAAATAAATAAATAAAATCTTAAAAAAAAAAAAAAAGAAGAATGCTTATTCCTCTATGTCTGTTTGGAAGTAATGATGGGCTAAGCATTCTGTCCTGCAGAGCAAAACAGAAAAGAAACATTGCTGATCTGTGGTGCAGTGTATTAGGGGCACAGCTAAAATTAAAATCAGAGTGTCTGGGCTCTTGATTTTGTGGGATTACAAATTGCTTTGTTGCTGAGGATATTAAAAAGTTGAAACAGGAGTCTACCTAACCGATCCCAGCCTGACTGACAAGCAGGATTTGAGAGACTAATGGTGCCATTTGATGTGAGGCATAGCCCAGAAGCCAAATGAGAGAAGGATGATTGGTATGGGTTCACACCCACCAGGCAGCAGCATCACTTTGAAGGTTTTCAGTTGATTTTATTGTTGATGAAAATCAAATTGCCATGAAATCAGAAAGGATTTACTAAAGTAGCCATCACCAAATACAGAAGATATATTATAAAATAGAAACCTGCACATGATATTAGCACATCAAAGAGAGAAAGGCTTGCCTAGAGAATTATCACACATTTTCAAATAAAACTCCAACAAACAGCACTATACTTTTAACATATAATCACCAGCATGTTTTAAGACTGCATTCCATAATTTCAACCAAGCTTATTAACAGAAATGTCAGAACACCTTTCATTACAACATAATTTATTTGCAACATGTCTATTTGTGATTTCCATTTAAGGACAATGGAGGTAGGCAAGAAATTTACTTTGAGGCTTCCCTGCTGTTATCTCACTCTTATCTGGGTGTGTTCAGCTTTTGTCTGATCTTCTCTAACCTCGCAAACCTTTTTTCTTGAAGATAATATGTTTGTTCCTCACTCTTTTCAAAGATAAGCCTGCCGACCACTGCTTCCTCTGTTCTCCCTCACCAATCTCTGCCATCAGCATCACTAAAAATAGCAACACTCTATCTGAAGCTACAGTAAGTTACCCCTGAAGATTGCTCAGAAGCAACTGCTAGGGGAAAAAAAAAGAAGAAGAAGCAACTGCTAGAGAAGCCGGCAGCTGCGTGGTTATTTAGAACTGGCTGGCCATATGGTGTATGAAGGATTCAGACTTCAAAGAAATTTCTGAACTGCCAGTTAATTTCCTGAGATATTTTGAAATACTGCAAACATACTGTATATATTACTTTCTAATTTTCTGTAAGAATATGTTTATCATCACCATTTAAAAGTTAGCTTCTGTTCAAGCATTCCTGGATAGTTCTTGGTAAAATGTGAGTTCACATATTGAGTGATCTGACCAGTATGGGAATAAAATATTGAATATAAGGTAGGATTTTGCTACTGGTATTACCTTGGATATTACCACATCTCATTTTGTTTGGGTTTTTGTTTTCTCTCTCTGCTCACAGAGTTATTGGCTAGGTGTAGCTAAAAGAAAAGGAATGCTTCCCCCCAAGCCCACCAAAACCAAAGTAAGACAAATAAAAATATTGAACTTGTTAGAATCTTCTTACTACACCAAACCACCAAAACTATTTTCTATATCATGCAATTTTATAATGATCTTATAACAACTCTTGAAACTTCATGCTTTTCTAAGGATGAAGTAGTCTTCTTACATTTGTAAAAATTAAATTAAATGAGAATGTCACTCTCTCCACCTTCTAATTCAATGATTGATACTTTCTTAACTTTTTTTTTTTTTAAAGAAAGTGTGAAACAGATCAGGATGTTTAATTAAATTAAAAGTTTTGTGAGGGCTTGACTCCTGTCTAATACTTATTTTCTACATAACATAATATGTAATCTACAGTTGAGCACATAGCAGATGTGTAAGAAATGCTTTTGCATAGTTATTTCATCCTGATTTAGATAGCTATCCAAATATCTCCTTTCTATCATGAAACAAAGACCAAGTTTAAGACATACATTGTGTGGCATCTTAATAGCAGAGCCAACATAGAAAAACAATCTGTATTACTTTAATACATAATAATTATTAAAATTGTTTATAAGTGAATGTTTATTCACTTACTTATTGTCTGTCTCTCCCATTGGATTGTAAACTCTAGGAGGAGAAAAATTTTTGTCATATTCATTACCATGGACTAAAATTACAGATGACACACAGTGTGACACAGCAATAAATACGTCTGCAATTAATGCATGAATATATTCCTGTATAAACACATACACACATATATATTTCCACTGAAGAATCAGATAAGTTTTATTTATTTGTTAGAAGAACAAAATCACATATAAAATCTTCCTTCCTGATCAGATCATGTTGCAGAGAGGTAAAATAGCAGCAGAGTGATCAATATTTTACCAAGGATTTATTTTTATTTTAATCAAATGTTTCCTAAGGTAAATTTTTGCATATCTGTGTCTGTGGTTTTATTTCAGCTGTGTGCCCACCACCCTTGGCAATTAAGGTCTTATTCAGAGTCTATAAAACATAGTGTATAGTGCAATACATTATTATTATTATATGTTTTCATTTTCTTTCATTTTGTAAAGGAACAATGAAAATGCTTGAAGGATGGACAAACATGATTGATCACCCAAAAAGTAATCAGTGAGAAGCTGGATTTTAAGTAACAGCTAATATCAGTAAATTAAACCTAATGGAAACTTAATAGAACTAAATGCGTTTCCAACTAGATTTTCAAATACTTATGCTGGTTCCTAACATGCTCACAGGGAAAAAGAAATCCAATGTAAAGCTCTGTGGACAGAAAAAAAAAAATTCCAAGTATATGGGAATAAACAATAAACACCCATTTGCTTTGAAAGGTATGGAGTGCCTACACAGATGCTCTGGGTATGTGAAGCTGACTACTTTATTTCTCTGGCTGGTAGGAATGTACAGTTTAATGAAAGAAACAAAATTTCAACAAAATATGTTAAGTGATGAGAGGATTTAGCCTATCAAAGGAGTTTCAGAAAAGCGCCATTGGGGAGATGATGCCTGATCTAAATCTTAAAAAGGTGTGAAAAAAAAAAAAAACATAATGAAGTATACACTGTAAGATATGAGATATCTGTTTGGTGACATTTCCTACTATAACTTTCTTCAAGATTTCACATTAATAGTTAAAAGAGAGAACACCTAAACAATTTTCCTAAGTAATTCCCATAATCAGAAATAACAGTTTGAACATTTTATTTTCCATGGTAACATATCAAATCAGAAAAGCATGGCCTGGTCAAATAAAAAGTACCCTAATACATCCACCCTTTCTCAATGAATTTTAAAAGATCCTTTATGAATAAATCTCTATAAACGGTTGTTATTTTTCCAAAACAATGAATTTTAACACAGAGAAAATTGCTATCACTTTATAAAATGGGAAAATGATGTAGTTCAGATGTGAAATAAATCATTTCAAACATCAAAGTTCATATATTTCTCAGCTTATTTGTTCTTTTGGGGTCAGATGAATTGTTTAACATGACTGAAACATTTCAGAAAATAAGTGGAATTCTCTAAGATTTGCAGATAAGTATTTGAAATTGCTTCGGGTAAGAGGATCAGAGTGGAATGGTGCATAGAGATAAAAAGAGAATGATACAATGGATGTGATTAGGTGACATAGTTGAAGAGAGAAAAGGGATCCAGACAGGGAATTAAAGAAAATGAGCATAGACATATAGAAACATCCTACAGAGGACACAGAAAAAGTAAGGAGATTTAGCAACAACCTACACAAAGGACCAAAAAGAATAAAGATGTAGAATTACATGTTCTGGGCGGAGGGGGGAAGAAGGGTAATTGATTTTTATGAAAATAGAGGAATTGACTGAGAGTGCAACAAGGTGGTCCCAGAAGGTGAAAATCGTAGGAAACAATGGAAGAACAGTGCAGATGTGCTTGTAAATTTGGCACTGAGTATAAGTTTGGCCCTGTATGTGTTAAAAATCAAATTCAAAGTTCAGTACCTTTGCTTTATCTCTCATTGATCCTTTGCCCAGGATAGACATTTTAGCACCTGTTTCTTCCTGTAGTCTCTTCAAGGAATTTCCTCTTGGTCCAAGCAATTTCCCCACAAAATTGAACTAGGAAACAAAATCAAGAAAATTCTGTTTTAAAGTGGAAAAAAATAATAATTTGCACCAAAAATAAATGATGGGTTATGGGCTTTTCAAACTTTAGCATGCAGAAGAGAGTTATGCCATTCACACACATAGACACACACACGAAACTATTTCAGACCTCTAATCTAGGATCCATTTTAAAAAGGAGACCTTTTCTAAAGGATTGCCAAAATCAATAATATGTTGACTATATCATATATAGTACTTACATAATCAAATAAATAGATCACTTATAAGAAAGAAATTAAGGAGAACTATGGTTTACCAAATTTCTAAAGGCTTTTTCTCTCCAGATTATTGAAAAAAAATTATTTTAGACTATGCACCTTCAAAATTGCAAAGGTTAATATTTTAAATAGATTTTTAAGATTTTATTTATTTATTTTTGAAAGAGTGAGCGAGAGAAAGAGAGAGAGAGAGCATGAGCAAGGGGAGGGAGAGGGAGAAGCAGACTCCCCTGCTGAGCAGGGAGCCTGATGGCCTGACGTGGGGCTGGATCCCAGCACCCCAGGATCATGACCTGAGCCACAGTAGATGCTTAACCAACTGAGCCACCCAGGTGCCCCTTAAGTAGATTTTTAAAATAAAATTTAATATTCATTTTTGTTAAGTATTATCTGTGCCTATAACATTCTATTCCAAATTTCATGACTAGGCATAAAACGATTCAATTATTCTTCAATCTTACATTCTCTCTGTTAAAGAGCTGTTCTAAGGATCAGAAAATAAAAGATGTGATCACATATACAGAAAACTTTAAAACACTACTGATACCACATATATACAAAACAATTTGTTTGTTAGATTTGTTAGATTCCACTGTTATAAAACTCTAGAGGCCAAAATAATATATGGTGTTAGAATTCCTAAGAGTGGTTGCCTGTGGAAACTAGAAGGCCAGGTTTGGACTTGCTGGAAAGTGGCATGAAGGAAACATCTGGGGTGATGGAATTGTTCTCTATTTTGCTGAAAGTATAGGTAGATTTTTGTCAAAACTCATCAAGTCGTACACTAAAACCTGTACATTTCACAGTATGTAAATAGGACTTCAATTAAAAATGGAGGGGAAATTATTTTTAAAATAATATCATAATGAAATGTCCTACAAAGAAATACTAACAATCCCAGGTAGTTGTACAAAGGAATATTACAAAGGAAATTCTGGGAGGTTTTTCAGTTTGTTTATTCATCCTGAAACATGGTTAAAAACAGGTGAAATAAGAGCAGTTATGAGAGTATGTTGTCAGCTACTGAATGGCACATTACCACACCAAATGACTTGGATAATCATTCATTGATTAATTTAAAAAATACAAGGGGCTTAGAATGCACCAAAAGCTGTGTTGGATAAATGAAAAACAAAGATAAATAAAATTAAGTTACTGCTTTCTAAATCAGAGGTTTTCTAGAAATATTTTTAAATCTATAGTCCTGTAGTAATAATACACCATATTGAATGGTTAAAGACTAATTGCTTTTCCCCTAAATCTAGGATAAATTCAAGGATGTCTGCTCTCACCACATTTATTTAATATTGTACTGAAGTGTGGACTGCTATACCTATAGGCAAATAGATAAATGGAACAGTATAACGTTCAGAAAGACTATACACTTAGAAGGTAAATTGATTTTCAACAAAAGTGCATCAGCAATAAAATTTGAAATGCAAATCTTTTTAGTAAATGAAGCTAGAACAATTGGACATTCATATGCAACAAACAAACAAAAACCCACAACAAAACAAACACTAAGAAACCTTTTCTGTCCTACCTCACATTTAGGCAAACTTTATTTTGGGATCTATCATAGATCTGAACATAAAAACTAAAATGGTAAGAATGCTAGTTAGAAAGCATACAAGAATGCCCTTGCAAATTTAAACTGGGGAAGGCTGCTTAATAGTAAGCAAACAGCACTCACTCAAACTTTGGCTGATCCAAAAACCATTAAGAAATTAAATAGATAATTTCTTAGGAATTATCTGGGAGAATATACTGCCTGTGCATACATGCAAAAAATGATTAGTATCTTAAATATAACACTGTATGTTAACTAACCAGAATTAAAATAAAAACTTTAAAAATGATTAGTATGTAGATCTATAAAAAACTCTATCAAGTCAATAATTAAACACACGCATATCAGAATTACTAAAACAAAAAAAAAGACCAAATGTTGACGAGGATCTGGAAGTAGGAGACAGCCACTATTAGCAGTTTAAAATGATACAACTGTCTTGGAAAGATTGACAGTTATTTATAAAGTTAAACATAGAGTTCCACTATGACCCAGAAATTCTATGTAGGTATTTAACCAAGGGATATAAAAGCTTATGTTTACAAAATGACTTGTACAAGAATATCCTTACTCACAATCACCACTAAACTAGAAATAAACCAATGCCCATCCAAGGGGAAAAAAAATCAATAAGTTTATACATAAATAGAATTAGTCACTGATTAACATAACAGCATGGATGTATCTCACAATTATGTTGAGTGAAAGAAGCCAGATACAAAAAAGTATATCATGTTAGATTCCACTGTTATAAAACTCTAGAGGCCAAAATAATATATGGTGTTAGAATTCCTAAGAGTGGTTGCCTGTGGAAACTAGAAGGCCAGGTTTGGACTTGCTGGAAAGTGGCATGAAGGAAACATCTGGGGTGATGGAATTGTTCTCTATTTTGCTGAAAGTATAGGTAGATTTTTGTCAAAACTCATCAAGTCGTACACTAAAACCTGTACATTTCACAGTATGTAAATAGGACTTCAATTAAAAATGGAGGGGAAATTATTTTTAAAATAATATCATAATGAAATGTCCTACAAAGAAATACTAACAATCCCAGGTAGTTGTACAAAGGAATATTACTAGACCTTTAGAAAATATATCATGATTTCAATCTAGGCAGTTGTTGGAGGAGTCATCGACAAGATGTGACTGCTGATTGACCCCACCACCTGGATTTTGGCAACCAGAGGCTCTTTACCCCCTCACTTGTCCTTGGAATTTATGTTCTGCCCACTGATGCCACAATAGGAGCCACTTCAAGGACACAGCGTTGAGAAATAGTGATATATTATGGAGACCATCTGGACAGTATACATGACTGAACCCTATTAAGGTCTTTATATAAACTCTGAAGATTCTGGTGGGCAGGTGCTGAGATCTACTCATTTCGCAGCCACCCAAGACAAGCCTCATCTATAAGTTCCCTTGCTTATTAAACTTTTCAACTACCAATCTGCAGTGGCCTGCCTCTTTCTTCAGTCTGTTCTTGCCCTCCGTGTATGGGGGCTAGGTTTGAAATTCACCCAGGAAATTCCTGAGGTTGTGAGCTAATAGCAGACTATCCAAGAAAGAAATGGAGAAATATCTCTTTACTCAGTTAGCAGGCTAATATCCTTGATAGTAAGAGCAAATCAGAAAAGGAAATTTATAGAGCAAATCCACTCATGAAACAAAACCCACTTAACAAAACAGTAGCATAACCAAGGCCTGTTGTATATACAAAAAATACATAATGATTGAGTTGTGTTTATCACAGATACATGGGTAGTTTAAGATTTATAACCCCTAATTATAATTCACATATTGGCAATGGAGAAAAAGAGGTTAACATTTTATTTGGACAAAAAAAAAAAAAGGCTAACATTTTATTTAATAAGAAAAATAATTTTATAAAATTCAATTTCAATCATTATAAAACTCACATCATCTGAAGAATGAAAGAAACGTCCTTAACCCAATAGAAGCTTTCTATTAGAACCAGTAAGAATTGTTTATTTAATAGTAAAATAATACCAAAAACAAGGTAAAGATGCACATTCTCGTTTTATTCAACATTGAAGATTTAAGCCACTGAATAAGATAAATGTTATAAATGTCAGAAAGTAAGAAACAAAATGCCACTCAAGGTTTATATGATTTAAATACATAAAAAGCTCAAAGTAATTTCAGAAAAATCATTAGAATCAGTAAAAGAGCTTAGCAAGGTGTTTTATACAAAATCAATATAAAAAATCAATTGTATTCTGTACATCAGCAACATATAATTAGTAATTTTAAAAAGAGAGAGATGCCATTTATGGCATTAGTAAAAAATAAATAAGATTTTCTAAGAATAAATTTAATTGTGTATAATCAAAACCTTTACAGAGAATATAGAAAAAACATTAATAAAGCTGTCAAATGGATATAAATAGATTGAGAGACAGATTATGTTCATCTACAAGGAGTCTCAATTTCTAGTATTTTCAATTATATCTATAGGTTCTATACAGTTCTAATTAAAATCTAATTAAAATAGGATTTGGATCAACTTACCAATTGGTTGTACAATTTGTATAAAAAGGTCAAAGTCCAAAAATAGCCAAAACATTCAGAAGCAGAAGAATAGGTTAAGGATTATGCCTATCACATACAAAGAGTCATTATAAAGAGTCACTATCATTAATTATGATAGTGTGATTATGTATAGTCCTGGAACACAGTAAGAAAACAGAGCAATGGAATCCAGAATCCAGAAACAGACTCTTATGTTTAAATGATATATGATACAAGGGGCAGTACAGATCACGAAGGCAGAATAATGGCCCCCTAAAGATGTCCATGCCCTAACACCCAGGATCCGTAAATACGTTCTCCTACAAAACGGACTTTGCAACTATGACAAAATTAGGAATCTTGAGATGAAGAGATTATCCTGGATTATCCAGGTGTGCCCAATGTCCTTATAAATTAAAGAAGAAGGTAACAGAGTCAGAGGGAGTGATGCAAGTGTTGGCTTTGAAGTTGGAAGGGAGCTGTGAGCCAAAGAATAAGGGTAGCTTCTACAAGCTGTAGGAGTCAAGGAACAGATTCTCCCTTAAAGCCTCCAGAAGGAATGCAGTTTTACGGACACCTTAATTTTAACCCATGAGAACCATTTTAGACTTCTGACCTTCATAACTGTAAAA